TCAGAGTACTTTGCTGATCAATTTTGACTTTGTTTATCATCATTTTATCTACTCTGTTTTTCATGTCAATAGTTGTGTTTTTAAATGTTTTCTTGTGTTCATTCTTCCAGTCTTTCCTAGAATTTAATAATTATGTATTGTTTCTGTTTCAACACCTATGTTTTTTATTTAAGTTTTACTACTTAAGTTTAGTTTGTGTTTTATTTCCAAGTTTAAGGCTCCTGTTTTTCGCTAAGTAATTACTGTACCTATTTGCTTGTTATGTTAAAGTCTGTTTTTTCTTTAAAGATAATTCCCCAAGTCAAAAATTTAGTAACTATGTTGGCAGCAGTGGCAGCACAAGCCTTTTCTACATAAAAAAATCGAAAGCATTGACAATTTTACATTGTATTGCCAACAGAATGTTATTTTGACTTTTATCTTTAAAAAAAAAACCCAGATTTTAGCTTATTTTTAGTTTTCAGGATTCTGCTTTGTCGATAAAATGTATTTGCACTTTTCAGACAATAAAGCTTATTTGATTTGATTTGAAAGACTCTAGACAATTTTCAGACAACCATTGAAAACTATGTCTCGGAAATAAAGAGGTGGTGCGGCACAAAAAAATTGTGTTTCAACGTACAAAAGACAAAGTGCTCTTTAACAACAGACTAGAAAGCACGTCCCTGAAAAATAAAATAACTATATAATTCTTAAGTTACGCACTGACACACAGCTGAAGTTTGACTCCCATATTAATCATTTAAATAAAAAATTGGCATGCGGATGTAGGGTTGCCAGATACTTGACTTTTGAAAATAGGAGACGCTGTATAAAATTATATGAGATTGGATAATAATATATGAGAATATTTTATGTACAGTGGCGGCCATTGCAGTTGGCACAAATTTTTGAATGCTTCTTGTATAAAGCCAAAGCTGACATAATTTTGGGATTAAGGCCGCGTTAATGGCCGCCATGTTTAAACTGTGATTGGTTGATTTTTCGAAACTTGTTTTAAGGTCTTTAAAAAAACGGTAAACAGAACTACAGAACTACAACAGAATTGACTCAAATTTGGCATAAACATTATTTGATCGATTATCTACGATTCCTTATAGTCCAGGAGGTGGCGCCAAAAACATGCAAGAGTTTTCGCAAGGCGGATATTTTCAAAATAGGTCGTACTTTAGTGTTAGAATGCTAGTGTACAGTCAGCACTCACAGTTCCGGGACAGCTGGCTCTGGGACGCGGGCAAAGTTGTAATTTTAAGAAGCATCTAAACTGTTTTCTTAAAGCTCAAAACTTATAGAAATTTTGCACATTATCTGTTTGAAGGTCACAGATAACGTATGTAAATCGTCAGACGTCTAGTTCGTTGCAAAAAGGGGGTCAGACGTCCTCAAAGTTTTTATTTTATGGCATTTTCTTCAAATATATTTGTCAAATACCTGCAAAAATATATTTTGACAGGACACCGAAGAAAATGCCATAAAATAAAAACTTTGAGGCCGTCTGACCCCCTTTTTGCAACGAACTAGACGTCTGACGATTTACATACGTTATCTGTGACCTTCAAACAGATAATGTGCAAAATTTCTATAAATTTTGAGCTTTGAGAAAACATTTTAGATGCTTCTTGAAATTACAACTTTGCCCGCGTCCCAGAGCCAGCTGTCCCGGAACTGTGAGTGCTGACTGTACACTAGCATTCTAACACTAAAGTACGACCTATTTTGAAAATATCCGCCTTGCGAAAACTCTTGCATGTTTTTGACGCCAGCTCCCAACTATTATTTTGGTTTTTTGATATTCAATTCATAAATCATGTTCGCAACCACCAAAACAATCAAATGTGTTGGTGGTTGCATATTTGCATGTTTATCAAGCTTGGATCCGTGAAAAGCATATTTTATTGATAACCACGAAAAACTCACAAAAGCCAATTGTAGAGATTGTAGATAACATATCAAACAGAGCTGGGCAGGGCTTGAGTGCTTTGTGCTTGCGAAAGTGCTTGAAGCACTTTGAGGGCTTGAAAGCCCTGTGCTTCAAGCCCTTTTATAGATTTGTAATTGGGGCTTGCAAAGTCAATTACTTTAGAAAAGTGCTTGGTAATTTGTAATTGAAAAAAGTAATTCAAGCCCTTTCAATGAGCTTCAATTACTTTTAGAGGGCTTGAAGCACTTTTGGGAGCTTGAAGCCCTTTGAAAGGGCTTGAAGCCCTTTAAGAGGGCTTGAAGCACTTTTGGGAGCTTGAAGCACTTTGAAAGGGCTTGAAGCAATTTAAAAGGGCTTGAAGCACTTTAAAAGGGCTTGAAGCACTTTAAAAGGGCTTGAAGCACTTTGAAAGGAATTTGAATTGACCATCATTCAACCTCCCACTTAAAAATTTTCGATCGTGTTTTGTCCCTTAATTTTTTTTTCTTTTATTTGAACTTGAACCATCTTATGTCTTTTCTCTCTTAACAATGGAGGTTTTGGGTTCGAGCTTAGAATGGAATTTAAAAAAAAATGAATGAACTTATTATTAAAATAAATAATTAATTTATATTGGTACCCTATTTAACTTTATCACTGGATTTTTTCCACTTTTCCCCATTGAACATTTTGAAAACCTTAAAATTGAAGTACCATGTAGTACCCCAAGTACCCCAGAACTACATCTCAAAAAAAAAACATACTACTGCTACTCTGTGAAATGTAAAGTTCGTCTCTACTATACCAATTCTGTGTGATGAGTTTACGCGGTAGCTTATGCCACTTTGAGAATTTTATTACAAATTCAAAGTGCTTTAGGCACATTTAAAGAGCTTCAAGTACATTTAAAGAGCTTGAAGCACATTTAAAGAGCTTGAAGCCCTTTTCAAGGCACCTCAAGCACTTTTGATGTGCTTCAAGCACTTTTCAAATCACTTTGAGGGCTTTGTGCTTGTCAAGCCCAAAGCACTTTGAGGGCTTTGTGCTTGTGAAGCACTTTTAAAAATAAAAAGGAATTTGTGCTTGAAATTGAAGCACTTTGATAGAGGGCTTAGGGCTTAGTGCTTCAAGCCCTTTTACTGAGGGCTTTGCCCAGCTCTGATATCAAATAATGTTTATGCCAAAGGATTTTGGAAATTATTGCGAATATTTTGAGATGACCTTAAAACGAATTTTGAAGGTGAAAACAGTTCAAGCAATTTCAAGTAGATGGCGCCATGGCAAAAAAGCTACATTGGGAGCATCATAATTGTATATTCGTCTTTCTCTGTCACTAAGTGTTTCACCGACAAACAGATTTTGTTTTGGACAAAAAATAAAATATTGAACCGTATGTGTAGAGTGACGCAGTCGTCATTTTCAAAAACTAAATTTAAACACGGCGGCCATTAACGCGGCCTTGGCCGCCAGTGTACTGCAAAATGACCAAATTCGAAAAAGCTCCCATCTTAACAACTAGATATGATTGTTAGCAGGTTTTGAAATTTATTGCTGGACATTCTTTTAGGTAGTTAGATACTCCTCCTGATTCGTCAGTCTCATTTCTTATAACAATTCGTGGACACCTTGAGTTTTTTGATATTTAAACAAATACCTGACCTAAAATCGTTTTGTAGGGTTCGATCCAAAAACGGAAGGAGTTAAAATTATTTTAACTTTGTCCGACGTCGGAAAAAAGTTGAAAATATTTAGATAAAAAGCGGCGAAAAATTTTTCAATAAATAGGAGCTCCGTCATACCATCGGACGGTTGTATAACGGACGCATGACACTCCGGCCTATCACGTGTATCGTAGTGATACATGGTTTCTTTTTTTTTTTTTGAGGAAAATATATGAGAAATGGTCTCATATTAAACATGTTAATATGAGATATGAGAAACAGTTAAAATATATTAGTCTCATATTAAAAATAGGAGGTCTGGGCTGGGACTCTGTAACGAATAGAAATATTTTCTCTATCTCTATCGACGTCTCCTCTCTATTGATTTCGACAAGACAGAAAAAGACAACACATGCCATAGCGATACGGATAACGATCTCTATGCGTTACAGAGTTCCAGCCCTGGCAACCCTATGCGGATGTTACATTATTAGAACTGTAGTACAGGAACTTGGCAGAAAATGATCCAAAACAGCTTATTCACTTCTGGAATCACATATCAGATACGGCCTGCTTTCTGGTGTTACTCTACGCAAAAATCTATAAAGTCAGTATTTTTGCTACGAAATATAGGGCCCGTTATCTTTGTAAAAAAAACCGTAGAGAAACCCAGAGAAACCTGTCGATTGCTTTTTGTACAGGAGGAAATATTAACGGTGTCCTGCATTTTTATTCTTGAGTAAGTTTCTCTGATTTATAAAAAGTTTTCTGGTTTTGTATGACAGAAACCACAGTCTAAGGCAAAACTACTCACCGCTGCCAATACCAAAGTTTTCCCTCACAAAAAACTCAATAATTTATGAAAGTGTACAGTGAATTTTATGAAGATTGAATGTTTTTATTGGAGCTGCTGAATTTCAGTTGTGATTAGATTTTAAATAGGGTAGCTAGTGGCACTTTATAAACAATGTAAGCTTATGTAAATGTTATATTGTATTTAAATCTATCAAATGTTCTTATCTTGTGTTTGTTTAGTTTGAATTAATTGGATATTACATTTATTTTAAGTATGTATTAACTTTAAGTGCGCGTTCACATTGACACCGCTCGAGCGGTGAGCGTTGCGCGATGCCGCTGTAGTGATGCCCAAAAATAATTTTAACATTATATTTCAAATGAACATGTTCACACTGGAGCGGCGCGTCCCACAGTGATAACATGTCCATTTGAAAAATAATGTTAAAATTATTTTTGAGCATCGCTACAGCGGCATCGCGCAACCCTCACCGCTCGAGCGGTGTCAATGTGAACGCGCACTAAGAGATTCCTTATTGCCTTGTCAATGAAATTGTGAAATTTTTGGAAAATAAAGCCTATTTGGATTGAATTGAAAGGCGGTATAAATAATACACACACACTATAGAGATTAAATACGTTGTTTATTAACCACTAATTTATTACATTCGTGAATCGTGCAATAAGTATATGAGGTATACATTTATAAAGCCATATAGGTATGTTCCATCGTCACCAAAAGTAACTGGGACAGCATCACATTCGCTCTTGTCCTATTATATGAATTTTATTGTCAAATATTTGTCAAACTATAATTTAAATGCATTGAAATGAATGACAGTAGAATTAGTCCAGGAGATTTTTATGCATTATTTGTGTCCCAGATACTTTTGGTGACGATGGTACATACATACATAATATTATATGACATGTGACATATCTCCCACAAAAATAAAATGAATTTCTATATGATATTTAGGCAGAAAAAATCTAATTACAAAAATCAATAAACCCCTGAATTTAATCAAAACCCAATCTTTTTGGAACACTAACTTATCTCCCTCTTTTTGTAATATAACTATTTCCAGTCCCATGGGTAACTTCACAATTCTGACAATCTCTCTTGAGACTGGGTTTAACACTTCTAGGCTGGCATCACAGTTTTCTGCTCTGACTGTATCTTCCTCTTGATTACGATGTACCAAAAACCTGGGGTTCATAGAAAAGCATGACTCAGAAACCCTTTTAGAGTGAAATTTTTAAAATCTGATCTTGAGAAATTTGTTTGGCTACCTACTTCTCGATTTTAAATAGAAACTATTAACTTTTGAACATTAATTAAAATTTAAATATTTGAAGTAACAATTTTGTGGCCTAATGTCAAAATTGATAATCCAGTATTCAGTAATAATAAAAAGCAATAACCTAGCAGATATGCGCTAGGGGAAATAATTTTTGGGGGCAAATAAATGGGTCAATTATAGGGACCAATAGGTCCACTTTAGAAACAAATAGTGACAATTATTGGGAAAATAGAACCAATGGAGTGCCAATTATGACAATTCTCGGGTAATAGTGTCTAATAGGCTGTACACATTTTTGAGTGGCGATCTACCCCTCGATCTTCCTGTGGAACCTCTTAAAACACGTGACTGCCACCCTCTGGAACCACCTAGAACAGCACCTGACGCACCACCGCTACTTCTTGAACAACCATCATGCCTCCTATCTATGACAATAACAGCTAACGATGAGTTATTTATTTCTCTCTGGGTTTGAACACTTGTTTCCATTGACCTGCTTATGTCTATAGCCTTATTGAGTTCAAGATCTGGATACTGCAGAAGTTTTTCCTGGATCCTCAAATCTTTAACTCCCAGAACAAGACGGTCTCGAATTAAAACGTCATTTTCTTTGAAATCACAGGATGAAGCTAACTGCCTAAGTGCCGTGACAAACTGGTCAATTGTTTCTTCTGAACGTTGTTCCCGTTTGAAAAATTTGAAGTGCTGGTATACCAATTTTTTTCTAGGGCTGCAAAATTTTTCAAACTTGTCCAAAATAGGGACAAATTTTTCCTTATTTTCACCACTTGTCTCATCATATTCGAATGTATTGTAAATGGCTAATGCCTCATCGCCTAGTAAATTGAGCAAAACTGCAATTTTCACATTATCCTTTTTATCGTTTTTTCCGGAGGCTAATAGGTAAAATTCGAATTTTTGTTTCCACAATTTCCATTTATTTGCTAGATCAGTATCATAAAAAGAAAATTGCTCTGGTGCTCGGCTCTGATCAGCCATATTTGAAAATGTTAAACAAACACTTTTTCAAATGTCCTGAATCCACTAAGAAGTTATGCACTAGCTTTAAAATTTAGCTAATATCATGCTAAAAACTGGCACCGCGGTACTTGTTATCACTATTGATAAACTGGTTATTTTTTTATTTGGCGATATCTGCAAACAACCTTGACTAGGTAGGTATGTAGGTAGGTACTCGAAAATCTATAGTGGCACTTTTACCACTGTCACCATGTAATATTCCGTAATACTTTGGTGGAGTATGGAAAGGCGATATAGATAATACACACACACTATACAGATTAAATACGTAGTTTAATAACCAGTAAGCACTAATTAATTACATTCGTAAATCGTGATGAAACCGCATATATTTACGTTATGACCGATACCAACGCCAATACGATTAGAATTAAACTGCGGTGTGGCCAAGTATCAATACTCAAAAGTCAAAAGTACTTACAATAAGTACCTATACATTTATGAAGCCATATAGGTACATACACAAAATAATGACCATGCTTACTATAACGAGTACTATGGAAGGGCACATAAAACAACTCAGAAACTACCATCCGCCTTTCTCTTGCTCTCAATGAAATGAGAACCAAAAGATCTGGGCAGTCAATTTGAAGAGTTTGTAAAGGAAACAAAGATATGCCTGGGCCCGTATTCTCGTAACCAGGAAACAGCGATTGCTCCTAGTCGCTCATATTATTTCCTTAATACTGACAAAGACAGAACAATGGTTCTCTTGATTATTATTACATTATTAATTCCAGATAGAGGCTTAGAGGCTATTACCAAAGGTGATAAGGAACTAGAACACAAATTGAAAGTAATTATTCTTGAGACTGAAGTGTTACGACAAGATGGTAAATCTGTGCCATCAAATGAATACATGACAGCAGAAATATGGGAAAATATGCTGAAATTGCCTTCAAGAAGTGGGAGGACTAAATATTTGGATTTTCTTTTTAGAACATCAAAGAAAAAACATAATAAGTTGGTTAGTATTAACATTCATGTCATTATCTCTTCATTTTTGCTTAAATTAGTTGGTGCAAGAATCAGCGATAATTTTAATGCTTTTCAGGTAAAGAAGCTTGAAAAACGCAAAACATATGAAGAACAGTTGGCCAACAAAAAATTGTCACCAAAAAGTTTACCAATAGAAGAACATGCTCTGAAATATGGTCTTTCATTCAATAATATTTTTATAAGATTTAATGATTCCACTATGAATAATTTCTATAACAGTAGGCTAATTCAGGCAATACAGTTTGGTCAAAAATTGGCAATTGATTGTGGATATGACCAGAACATGACGAAAAGGGAAAATCAGTACACTGCCAAACAGCTTAATCTATTGTTTGCTGAAAATCGTTGCAATCATGGTTAGGATTTACACAATATCCAGATTTGATATGCGTTTATCATCAACAATTGCGGTTGTTTTTAGATCCATTTGATATTCATTATGTTAATCTTAACAAGGAAAGTGAGCTCACAAAGATGTTCTATAAACATGTTCCTACAATGTTTGATAAGGAGTTTCCTATGAACTCACATGAAAAAAGTTATTTGGATCTATTTCCTAAACAGAAGTTGGTGTATCTAACTCCTCATTGTCGAGAAGAAATGGGGAGCTTTGATCATGATGCAATTTATATAGTTGGAGCCATTGTCGATAAGGTGAGGAAAATTGATTGTCAACATCTATTTAAATATTTTCAATTTTACTTTGGCCCGGTTTAGGCGGTTTATTTCCTATTCCGATATTGCTGATAACTGTGCGGAGAAGACAAATATACCAAACTAGTATCCGGTCGATCAAAACGTTTGCGCCTTCATCCATCAGATTGCATTACCTGACAGTTTATCTGAAGGTGAATAAACGGGGCCTTATGGTTTTAGCAAAAAAATATTGAACGATTTTTCCTGTTAATTTAAACATGATAAACTTCTCAAACAGAAACTTATTAATACTAAGACACCAAGGTATTTTCTCAAATAGAGCTAGCAAGTCTTAATTCTCTGTCTCGTAGAACCATCAAATTCGAGCCTTATCATTGGGATCTCGGTAACCGTAAGAGATACGGGGTCGGTTAAATTATGGCAAAGTTGCGCAATTTTATGACCAATAGAGTACGTTTTGAAACTAGAAACATTCCGAATACTTCCGGAGATATTCGGAAAAACCGAAATTTTGTAAAATCGTTTTTATTTTTTTCTGGGCTGATTTAAAGAGTAATTTCAAAATAAATGTCGCTTCATCATTGTCACTTTTTCCCCTTTAGAAGATGGTGCTACTAAATTTAAAATTCGACGTTTCGTCTTCAGGCGGCCATCCTCAACTTCCTTTTTTCCGGGGGGCGGTCAACTTCCTCAAAATGTGTATACCGATTTAAAATCACTCTTGATTTCAACTGATTTAACAGATTTGATCGGATTTTAGAGATTTTTATTCAAACCTTAACTGATTTAAGGTAATTTAAAGATTTATTGGATCATTTAATAGTTATTTATACACCAAGTGAGTTAAATGAATGTTTATTCATGAGAACTCGCTAGGGCTCGTGAGTCGTGGGTTAATTTTCTTCGAATGAATAAACATTTTAACTCACGTGATGAATACAAAATTTTATCCCATTTTGTGGAAATTTAAAAAATAAAGCACAAGGAAAAATGCCGGGAGTGAGTTAAAAATATTTTAAATCACTGAGGTTTCAGATTTTTAGTTGGGCAGAGTGACTTAAAATGCCGAGTGAGTTAAAATGTTTTTAAATCACTGAGGTGATAAACGTCTACTTACCTTTATTGTTATGCGTTTAATAAGATTGTAGATTGCGGGGGAGTCGTTTCGGCTTTTCAGCCGCTCAGCACTGCTACCTTTGCAGATATTTTGTACATGACTACATCTCAAATTGTCTCCAGGAAGCGTAGACTTCTGCCGAAGGAAGCTATTTTCCTGGGTGTTAGTTGGCCCACTTCTTTTGGTGACAGTGTTGCCCCCTCGAGGAATTTGAGCCTCTTGCAGAATTGGGCTGGACATTCGCAGAGCAGGTGCTCTGCGGTCTCTATTGCGTCTGAGCAGAATCTGCAGAGATCGTCTTCCGCTCTGCCCATTAACCTTAAATGGTATTTTACTGGGCAGTGTCCTGTGAGCAGTCCCACCACCAATCTGATGTCTGGTCTGCTCATGCTTAAGAGCTGTTCAGCTCTTTTTGCTGAAAGGGTAGTAAACCTTTTAGACTGTCTGAGTCCCGGTGTGTGCCTCCAGTATGATGACAGTTGGTCTTTCTCCCATTTATTGAGTTCTTCCATGATGTGGCTTTTCATTAAGCCACAGTAGGGCTCTGGTCCATGGTATGGTGTTGAGGCTCCTTTGCGAGGCCATCTGCTTCTTCATTAACTTCTATGCATCGATGACCAGGCAGCCACATCAGCGTTACCTGGTTGTGTGTCGCTAGTGTTTTTAGGGTCTGTTTACAATCCCAGACTAGTTTTGACGTGCATTTGAAAGCCTTTGGCTTTTAAGGCAGCTTGGCTGTCCGATAGTATAAAGATGTGTTTTCTTTTGAGGCTTTGGCTAAGACACTCTTGTGCACATATATCTATGGCAAGCAGTTCGGCTTGAAATATTGTAAGATGTTTACCCAATGCCTTGGAGAGCTTGAAGTTAGGGCCGGAGATGCCCAGTCCAGCTCCTTCCATTAGCTTCGATCCATCTGTGTACCACAGAGATGCATTGTCTGCTTGTGGCAATTCTTTATTCTCCCATGATTGGCGGTCGTTTATTACCACTGCGAATGGGATCTCTAAGTCCAATCTGACCATCATGTGGTCGCTTGGTTTGCTGGCATTCTCCAGTTTTATTAAATCAAGGATTCGCAGATGTCCCCTCAGATCACCAGGCTTGAACTTGTTTATTTGGGTTTTATTATAGTTTGGTAAATCCAGAATACCATCTTTGGCTTTAGCCCCCATGTTTTGCCAACAAGTTTTCGGCATGACCAAATGGCTGATGTAGCTCGAGAGCATGTTTTCTCTAACTGTTTGTTCCAAGTGAGGGTTCGGTCCAGGGTGGCCCCTAAGTACTTCACTTCGTTGGAAAATGTACCGTTAAGGGTCGGGGCTTTCAGATTTAGCCTCCTTCTTCTGGTGAACGGGACAAGGATTGTTTTGTTTGCGTTTAGGGATAATCCTTCGCCTTCGATCCAATTTTTAACGATGTTTAGGGCACTTTGCATTCGGCTTGTTACTACGCCTTCATGTTTGCCCTTGATTACAATGGCTAGGTCATCTGTTTTGTCAGCTGGTATCCAGCACTACTCAGTCTGGTAAGAATTTAGTCTACCACCAGTGTCCATAGTAGTGGAGAAAGAACAACCCCTTGAGGACACCCTCTGACCGTGGTAGCGGTAGCTGATGCTCTGTTTATTTCATTCGTAACGTGACGGTGTTTCAGCATCGACTCTATCCATTTTACAATTGGAACTTCAACATCCCATTCTTGTAATGCTCTGGCGATTGATTGATGTGAGGTGTTGTCAAAGGCACCCTCTATGTCGATGAAAGCTGTGAGAGCGATCTCTTTGCACTCGATTGTCTTTTCAATGTCTTTAACCAGGTAAAGCACTTATTGTGGATTTGCCTGGCTGATAAGCAAATTGCTTCGAGTAGAGCGGTCTTCTCAATAGAGTTTCGCTTCTGATGTACTGGTCGATTGCTTTCTCCATTGTCTTAAGGAGAAAGGAGGTTAGACTAATGGAACGATATGATTTTGGTTCGTCCTCGGGTCGGCGACCCGTTTTTAGTATGAATATCACATTAGCTTCCCTCCAAGATAGCGGTATGTGCCCTACGAGCAGGCTTGCCTAAAAAAGCTTTTGTAGGTGTACCTTTAAGTACTCGTAGCCTTTTTGCAGTTGTGCGGGAAAAATCCCGTCTTTGCCTGAAGATTTGTAGGGTCTGAAGCTATCGATCGCCCATTTTATTCTGTTCATTGTGAAGATTTTCCCAGCCAGCCTTTTGCTCCTGCCGTTAGGGCTTTGTGGCCCTTCGATAGGCGGAGTGACGTGGTTCAGGGCTTCAACGATTACCGAACCTGGAAAGTGAGTTTGTAGTAGTACCTCTAGACTTTCTATATGGTCGGTACAGTGTTCTCCGTTTGGCTTTTTAAGCAGACCAATTCCGTTTGAGTGGTTTTTTGAAAGAACTTTTTGGAGACGTTGAGCTGGGGCTAATTCGTCAATCCCCTCGCAGAATTGTCTCCATGATTTCCTTTTCGATTTTCTTAATTCACGGTTGTACTTGTCTAGGGCTGTTCTATAGTCTGCCCAGTTGCCGTTAGTTTTTGCCTTGTTGAACAGTTTTCTGGTATCTTGTTTCAGGCGTCTCAGCTGTCCGTTCCACCAAGGCACTTCCCAGTGGCCTGCCTTCTGTTTTACAAGACAACTCTTCCCATAGGAATCTTTAATTGCATTTGTTAGATTGTCAGATGATGCCTCTAGCTCTTCTATTGTATTTATGTCAGAAGGGAGTTCATCTAGACTCAGGCAGAGACCCTCCACATAGGATACCCAGTTGGTGAGTTTTGGGATTCTCGTCTGTACTGAGTGATTTATTACTGCCTCTAAGTCGAACCTTATTGCTTGATGGTCCGACAGGGAGGGTTCATTTGACACAAGCCAGTTGGTTATTGTGCTAGATGTAAATGTGTCAGCGAGAGTCACGTCTAAGACCTCTTGTCTGACGGCGTTAATGAAAGTGGGTTTGTTACCTTTGTTGATAATGTCTATGTTCTTCTGATCAGTTCAAATATTCAAAAAGGTACTCACTCCTTACGTTTGTATCGGTGCTTCCCTATCCTACCTGGTGATGGGCGTTGGCGTCTGCCCCGATAATGTAGTGTCTGTTTCTCGCTCTGCACCACGTGATGAGTCGTTGGACGATCTCTGGCGGTGCTGAGTTATCATCACCTGGAAAGTAGGCTGAGGCTATGAGAATATGCCTTGAGCCCCCTCCCGTTGGCACTTCTACTAGAGCAGCTGCCAAGTCTTGTGTGATGAACTCTGGAACAGGGGTGCGATTTTCGAGAACATTCGAGTACATTTCGTACACGAAATTTGACTGCTCCCCATTTAATTTACATTGCTGTCAGTCAAATTTCGTGTACGAAATGTACTCGAATGGTTTCGAAAATCGCACCCCAGGTAAGAATTTTAAATTTTTGTCAAGCAGAAATGCTGCTCTTGGTCTTTCGTGGTTAATGTTGTAGATTAACTTTACTTACATGATTTGATATTTAGTCCTTTTATAGAGCCTCCATTGACCCAGGGCTCTTGAAGTAGCCCTACGTTGATTTTTTGTCCAAACATTCTTCTTCTAAGCTCACTAGTAGCAGCTTTTGAGTGTTGAAGATTTATTTGAATGCATTTGATGCTTGGTGAGTTGCTTCTCTTTGGTTGCTTGGAGGAAGCCATTAGAGTTGCACACACTTTTCGGACTCCACCGTTTAATAATGTCATTTTTAAACGTCAAAATGGGATAAAAAGATTTAAGCTGATTTAGGAAGATTTAACCTGATTTAGGAAGATTTGACCTGATTTAAGAAGATTTAAATGGATTTAAGATTTGAACTGATTTAACCTGAGATGATTCAAGGTAATTAATTTAATCCTGAGAAGATAAAAATGTATCTAATAACCAGATATTTTAATGCTAATCTAATAGGTACATACTTTCGCTCTCATAAAAGTCCAATTTAAATTTTGAACTAATAAAAAAAGTTCTAAAAGTGATAAAGTTTGTGATACTTTCGCGTCCCAGGTTTATTGATACCGATGTTTCCATTCGGGCTTAACGGCCGTCGTAAGTTGGAATTTCTTCATTTTTCTTAGGAAGAAATTCCAACTTACGACGGCCATTAAGCTCGAATGAGAACACCTTATCAGTTCTTAAAGTGCCACCAAAGTCAGCTAGTCTTGGTACACAATGCAATTAACTAATTAAAACTTGAATTTGAATTCAGGAAAAACTTGAAGATTATTCCTGTGCCGTCAACAAAAACACACACGTGCAAGCCGAAAACGAATATAAGCAATTGCACCTCGAGATTTGTCGAGTTCGAGTCGCCCAAAGTTTTCGCGGGATTTTAACCGTTTTTTTTTATCGATTTGAAATGATTTGTGGAGATTTATGAAGATTTAAAGGGATTTAAAGAGATTTAACGAGAAATGAAACATTTAAATGGATTTATGCAAATGTAACTAGATTTAAAAAGATTTAAAGGGATTGTAAGAGATTTAAGAAAATTTAAATTGATATCTAACCTGATTTAACGTGATTTGATATGATTTATGAAAAAACTAAGGTGATTTAGGGAAATTTATTTAAGGATTTGAAGTGTTCCGGATCTCAGATTTTTAGGGACTTAATTGATTTAAAAAGATTTGAGAGGGATTTAAAAAGATTTGAAGGGATTTAAAACGATTTAAAGGGATTTGACCTCATTTAATCTGATTTAGAGCAAAACAAGATGATTTGAACTTCGTTGACCAGTCAGAAACAACTACTCCGAGGGCAAATACCCCTACCGACGTTGAACTACACTGATTGGTCTGAGCTTTCGTTGGCAATGGAAATTGTTAGAAAGATTTTTTCAGGTAATGACCAACGTGAATACAGGGACACTACGATCCCTGTTTGGGAATCGGCCCACTGAGCAGTGGACTCAAACTTCCCGTGCTAATCCTTGACGCGTTTCGTCCTTGTTAGGACTCATCAGAAGGACATAGGCTGAAGCTCCCTGTCCAAGCAAAATCGGAGTAGTTGTTTCTGACTGGTCAACGAAGTTCAATTTTGCTTGGACAGGGAGCTTCAGCCTATGTCCATCTGATGAGTCCTAACAAGGACGAAACGCGTCAAGGATTGGTACGGGAAGTTTGAGTCCACTGCTCAGTGGGCCGATTCCCAAACAGGGACCGTAGTGTCCCTGTATTCACGTTGGTAATTACCTGAAAAAATCTTTCTAATACAAGATGATTTATTTGATTTAATAAAGGATTTAAAGTGATTTAAGTCCATTTGTACACCGATTTAACAGAGTTAACCCCCCCCGCTTTTTTCAAATACGGACCTGGATTTTTTATTTTCGATTTTGTCATCTTTGGGCATCCTAAAACCGATACTGTTTATAATTTTTCAATAACACAGTAGAAAAGCAGGTCCGTATTTAAAAAAATAAATTGATGATGATTCCAGAGGAACGAAACGTTGGATTTCAAATTTAATGCCGCCATCTTGTAGAGAAGAAAAAGTGACAATGGGAATGTAAAATTAGTTTCTCACAATCTTTTTAAATAAAATCAGGAAAAAATTAAAACTATACAAAAAAAACATGAATTTCTCGTTTTTCTCAAATTTTTCCCTGATTCCATTTAAAAAGATTTTGAAAAACTAATTTCACATTCCCATTGGCACTTTTTCTTCTCTACAAGATGGCGGTATTAAATTTGAAATCCAACGTTTCGTTCCTCTGGAATCATCATCAATTTATTTATTTAAATACGGACCTGCTTTTTTTTACCGTGTTATTGAAAAATTATAAACAGTATCGGTTTTAGGATGTCCAAAGATGACGAAATCGCAAATAAAAAATCTAGATCCGTATTTAAAAAAAGTAAGTTGAGGATGGCCGCCTAAAGACGAAACGTCGAATTTTAAATTTAGTAGCACCATCTACTAAAGGGAAAAAAGTGACAATGATGAAGTGACATTTATTTCAAAATTGCTTTTCAAATAAGCCCGGGAAAAAATAAAATCGATTTTACAAAATTTCGTTTTTTTCCGAATATCTCTGGAAGTATTCGGAATCTTTCTAGTTCCAAAACGGCATTCTATTGGTCATTAAATTGCGCAACTTTGCCATAATTTAACCGACTCCTTATCTCTTACAGTTCCCGATATCCCAATGATGAGGCTCGAACTTGGGCCACCCTGTACAGGGTGGGCCAATTTGGACACTTTCTTATGGAAACACCCTTTATTTTTAGAGATAGAAAAAAATGAACCCCCCACTCTGAGACTCAAATTTCATGAAATTTGGATTGGTGCAAACCGCATTTTGATATCTTCAACCCTTTAGCCGCTGGAGGGCGATTCTCGATTTTGAGCAATACTGTGAAACCTTCATAACTTTTATATTTATGAAAATAATTCATTTCTGTAAAGACTTTCTGGAAGCACTTTTTGAAGTGGAATTCAGTGACGTTCACAGCTTTTTTCTATTTGGCTCCGATTCCGAGATATTGACCAAAATCCGATTTTTTTCAATAGGACATCCTATATATTAATAGCTCATTGAAAACCTTTGCTTTTGCTGATTTCAATTATATAAAATTCGATAGGTTTATCTGCAACAATTTCCGAGAAAAAAATTATTTTGATTTTTGTCATAAGACACAATGTGTTGGAAAAGGACTTTATATCTGTAAGGAAAACGAGAAAGGTCTCTTTCTAACACATTGTTTCTTATGACGAAAACAGAAATTATTTTTTTTCTCAAAAACTGTTAGGGATAAACCTATTGAACTTTATATCATTGAAATCAGCAAAAGCAGAGCTTTCTAATAAGCTATTAATATATAGGGTGTTCTATTGAAAAAAATCGGATTTTGGTCAATATCTCGAAATCCGAGTCAATTAGAAAAAAACTGAGAACGTCACTGAATTCCTCTTAAAAAAGTGGTCTTAGAAAGTCTTTACGGAAATCAATTATTTTCATAAATAAACAAAAAAGTTATGAAGGTTTCACAGTATTGCTCAAAATCGAGAATCGCCCTCTAGCGGCTAAACGGTTGAAGATATCAAAATGCGGTTTGCACCAATCAAAATTTCATAAAATTTGAGCCTCAGAGTGGGGGGTTCATTTTTTTCTATCTCTAAAAATAAAGGGTGTTTCCATAAGAAAGTGTCCAATTTGGACCACCCTGTACATACTTCAACAATTTTTGGTGTAATGGTATGTTTAGCAACAGCCCAATGTTTAGTAACCTTTTGGTTTATTGATTCGACTGCAGATAAGATAATATGTATGTAGGTATCATATATATTGCATATTCAAATGAGAATCTTTATTATTTCAGGTAAATCATGAACCACTTTCATTAGCAAAAGCCAAACGAGAAGGTATCACTATGAGAAAATTTCCGTTAGATAGATATCTGCAATGGGGCTCTGGTTCTGGAAAAAGTCTCACAATCAATCAATGCGTAGCAATCCTACTGGACCTTAAAGATACTGGCAATTGGAATTATGCTTTAAGACATGTACCTAGAAGAAAATTATCTGACACCACCACAGTTTCTAATAATTTTAAGCATTCTTACAATACTCCTGAGTCATTTTCTTCTAGAAAAAAGGCTTATGAAGCTTAGGCAGCCTAAGCGCGATGGAAAATGGGTAAAGATGATATTGTGGAAAGTTGTGCTAGTGAAAAATACTTCAAAGAAAACAAAATATCCAATTCAGTTTCAATATCTCTTTTATATTAACTTCTTGTAGTTTAAAATCTTTTTCAATTCATATAAAATTTCTGTTTCTTTTCATCTTATGCAAAAATATACAAGTTAAAAAATATCACAATTAAAAATCTTAAAACGATCGAGCATAGGTTTTAAAATTTGAAATAACACTCAAAAAATTGTAATGGAACAAAAACTTACAGCTGACACTTTTTTCTTGAGCGTTATTTTTATTAACAAATTGGTATTCAGCTATACCTTATATTTTTTTATCAGTCTATATGTAATAACAAAAAGACCAGAAAACATACATATCACATTTCAGTAACAAAACAATGAATTTTTAGAATTGTTTTTTTTTTTTTTTGGTTTGAATTTTGTTAACATTAAAAAAAACATAGATGAGTATAATAGCCATTTTTGGGTATGAACCTTCGGTATTCTAAAAATTGATAGATGGATCTATCATAAAATGCCCTCCAGTGAGTGGATTTACAAATCAAAACTAACTCATAGCAGTTAGACTTGTTGCATGTTTTTTTTTTTCAATCACTGGTATTCCCATTCTTTATTTTATTTCACTCTAGATGCCCAAGAAGCAGACACTGCACAATGTTTGCTTCTTGAGCAATATTCCAGAAATTTGACAATTTTTGAAATAAAACTTTTTTACGCACGTGGTAAGTTCGTTTCATGCGAATAGCTATGTAACACAACGGCATCCCCTCTACTGCCCCATAATCGAGTTAGTAGTGGGTATCGCTTCTATACAATGTTGGTTACAGGCAGCTCAGGCATGTAATTCTATGTGTTTGTGTGCCTGAAGTCAAAACGACGCCACTAACTGAACTCGACTCCTTAGTTAGCCCATAGCAGCCACATTGTATACAGCATGAAAAAATTATACCATTAACCAATTCCTTTACCCCCTTTCCTGGAATGCTTGTGTTTGAAGAAGTTTCACTTCAGTAGTGTGTTGTATGATCACATTTTTTTTTTTTTGCCAGAAAGAAATGTTGGATGAAAATATCGATGGCACCGATTTCATCCTGCCAAATGATGTTGTTTTCCTAAGCTATTAGAATCTTGCCAAACAATTTTTAGTTGAAAAAATCAGATTAATAAAATTATCTAACAAAAATTTGTCAAGTTAGACCCAATAGTTTGTAGATACATGGGTATTTGCCAATTAAATACACACAAGTAATTGTTGCATTCAACATAAAAACATTACAATTATCCTGGTAAGGAATGGAAAATTGAGCTTAAATATTTTGTTAAGACACACTTTGATGATCAAAGTATCCCTTGACAAAATTGTTTTTTGATCATTCACCTAAAGATGGCCATTGAAGAGGTCTTTCCAAATTTCAGAATATTCCATTAGTAAGTATATGAATGGTAGACATTCCATAGTGCAATGGTACCATCAGCCCCTCCTAAATAAATTCAATTAGGAACAAAAAAAACAATTTATATATTCTTACCTGTAGCAAAAATTTTTGAGTCCCAATAACGTACAATATTTGGTGAAAATTGTAGGTCAGATATTTGCTTCTTGTGTTCTTTTAAAACGACTAGGGTTCTCAAAGTCCTCCATGAGTAGATTCTATAATTAATTTAGAATTGTTATGAAAAAAAAACATAGTCATTATAAATCGATAATAAAGTATGTACCACGACAAAAGCAATGAAATTTTACTTTTAATACCTGGAGTGCATAAAATACTTTTGTTGCTATGAATCGGGGAAATATGCTACTGTCTCCACTCAAGATTTTGGTTGTGAAGAAGCGAAAAATTTTGCGTTATCAGGGCCATTGTTAGGAGGAGGATTTGTGAAAGTGCATTACTGTAGGATATCCAGGGTCTTTTTAGCAGGCAACTCTCTCAAGCTCGCTCCAGTCAAATGGAGAAGATCCGGAGACATTGTGTCTGCTCTCAGCATTAACAGCTCAAAAACTAGGTTAGGACCTTTACCAGGGTCATTTCTAAAATGCTATGGAGTGATTCAACCTCAACTCCGATTACTCAGACTGTTTTTAGCTTAAAACATGCAGTATATCGGAAATGTTTACCTCACTGCTAATCTAATAAGAATGTTCATACATATTACTTCTCACCTTAAACCTCCATCCCATCCTCCTGCCATGAGAAGCCTATGATCAGGTCTAAACTTAACCATCTGACACCCTTCGTTTGGTAGAACCAATTCAGCTTGTAAAACAATTTCCAAACATTCCGGATCAATTTTGAATACTTGAAGAGCATTGGAAGAGTTAGCAACAACACCTCTATAACTATGAGGGTCGAATGTGACTGAGGTAGTAAATTCTTTAAATCTCAATTGGCTGCATTGCTGAGCAGTTGAGTAGTCATACAGTATAAGATGGCCATTTTCGTACCCGACAAGTAAATAAGTCGTCCCTCCTATTTTGAAAGCTTCAAGGCACATGGCAGTTCCGAGCTTTTCATTGTCGTCAGGTACAAATTTTCTTATACTTTCAAATGTGTCTATATCAATGATATCAACGGTGGCCTTTTCTTGAGATAAAATCAGTTGTTTTTCAAGTAAGACACTTTTGCAGAAGCCGCCATAAGCCTGATAGCTTCGTTGGACTCTAAAAAAATAATATTCTATATATTAATATATTGATTAAACTTCGTGTTCAAATGGTTCTTACTTGTAGCCGGTGTTATTTTCTATGGACCAAAGCTTCACTAAACCGTTCTTTTCCTGTGTGATTATGTCATATTCAATTGCGTGAAGGGCTTGGATTGATTCACCCATTTTTTGTTTATGTTGGAGTCTATTGGACTGGAAAATTTAAATTTTCTAAAGTGTTTCATTTATCTATTGAATCAACTAATACAGGTAGATGAACCCTTTTAACAGTTTTATTTAACATACAAATAAACTAAAATATGCTAAACTAAAGCCCACATTACATATTACACCTGTGTATTTTATTGTGTATTTCTACATGATTTATACATGCAAAATTCATGAATGTAAAGCGAAAATATTAGCCGTGTATTTACAGCTTATCACTAGTAAATTCATTAATTTATACATGCATAAACACATGTAGAAATACACAGGCTTAATGTTTTTTTAATAAAAAAAAATAGGACTAGTTTAAAAATTGACTAAATACACATTATTAGTTATTATAGTAATGGGCGATTTTCTATGTTGTAGGTAATACCAGAAACTTTGAAATTAGGTTAGTTACATTATAAGTATTCAGGATACAGGATGTGTCACAAAAGTGTGGCGAAGCAAAGTTATACTTTCCAAAATGGAATATCCCCAGGAATATCCCGTATATTATTGACCTATTGGATCAGCCTTTTTATTTTATTTTATTTTATTTATTTCAAATCAACAAGATATAAATTCACAATAATTCATACCAAATGTGTTGTGAGCAAACAAATGAACCTAAAGGTTTGTGTGTGTATGCTCTAAGAAAAACTATACCGGGTGCCCACTAGATCACTTTCCGGCTGCCATTTTTTTATTTTTTTATCGACATCAACGAAACTTGGTAGGGTTGATATTCTAACCAAACGCCATTTTTATGCATTTATAAAAAAAAATCCTGACTTCCGGTTTCACCGGAAACTTTCGATTTTTAAATAGCACACCCTGTATATTTTTTGTTTTTCGGATTCTACAGATCCTAATTGGTATTAGGCACGATATAACTGCGTCAAAGTTGAATTTGAGTGAGCTCGAGGAAATGATTCCAGAGATTGATGTTTTGGGCTGTAAGCTTCATTTTAAGAACCATTTTATTTATATCTTTACAATATATATGCAACCAAATTCACCTTTAATCCATTATCAGAGTTTATTTGATTTTTTCACAACTTATGAGCCTGTGCAAAATAATCAAGTTATCATAATTGGTGACTTCAACATCAACTCTCATACAAAATCACTTAAATTAAAAGATTTTCTAGCTTTAACTGACTTCGATCAACTGAACAATATTCCAAACCACTATGGTAACATAATAGACCTTGTCATTACAAACATCAAGTGTGAAATTAACAGACAAACTATACCCCTAGTTCCTGAAGATCTAGCTCACCCCACCCTCTCAATTGAAATTGATCCACAAATGGGCTCTTTACCCAGAAACTTCCCTTGCAACACAAATAAAAATTATAACTTTCAAAGAGGAAACTATCCACTTATGTAGCAGTTACTATCAGAAACAGATTGGAACTTCTTGGATGATGAACAAGATGTCAATACATCAGTTAATCTCTTTTACGAGACATTTTACAATATTCTTGATCAGTCAGTCCCTCTTTTCCATGTAAACACAAAAAATAAGTTCTCATATCCATCTTGGTACACTAGAGAAATAATAAGTCACTTAAACCAAAAACAAAGGCTACACAACAATTACAAAAAAACTAAATTAAAAAGTGACTATGACTTTTTTTCGACTCTTAGGCAGACTATTAAAGCAGAAATTGATGAAGCCTATAGATCTTACATAAGAAATACTGAATCATCAATAAAAAGGGAACCTAAGAATTTTTGGAAATATATCCGACAAAAACGGCAAAAATCTCGTATACCAGGATCAATGATTCTGGACCAATTGTCTTTAGAGTCCCCGCAAAACATAGTGGATGGATTTGCCAATTTTTTCAAAAGTGTATATGTTGCATCATCAGATCCCTTCTCAATTAACCCTGTCGAGCCCTACAACTCTCAAAATATATCCATTAATATTATTTCTCAGCTTGAAGTGTGCAGTGCACTCAAAAAATTAAAAGATACAAAAACTGCAGGTTATGATAAAATACCATCTTTTATATTGCGTGATTGCTCACCGTTTCTATCAGTGCCCTTACATCTTATCTTCAATAAAATTTTAAAAAATAATATATTTCCGGAAAAATGGAAAAAAACTAAGATTTGTCCTGTCTTTAAGGCAGGTCAAAATAATAATATCACTAACTATCGACCTATCTCCATACTGTCCAACTTTTCGAAGGCCTTTGAAATCTGTATTCACAACAATCTCTTCCATCAAGTTAAAAACCTAATATCTCCTACTCAACATGGCTTCTTCCCACAGAGATCAACTATCACAAATCTTACAAGTTTCCTACAAAGAGCTTATCAAGCTATCAATAATAGGAAACAACTTGACGTCATATATACTGACTTTTCCAAGGCCTTCGATAAGTTGGATCATGGTCTCATTGCCCGGAAAATGTACAACATTGGGTTTCATAGGAACCTGGTGAATCTATTTATCTCATATTTGAGTGGGCGAACACAGTTTGTGGAGTACAACGGTTTTCGTTCTGCTGACTTCAGCGCTTCAAGTGGCGCTCCTCAGGGAAGCAATCTAGCTCCTCTAATATTCGCTATTTTTGTGAATGATATCACCGACACTATCTCATCTAACTGTGTACTGTTTGCTGATGATCTGAAGATTTTTAGAATTATTGTCACCATACAGGACTGCTCAGAATTACAAAACGACATTGACTCCCTGTCTTCTTGGTGTATCACAAATAAACTTCCGCCTAAATATTAATAAATGGCGTTCTATGACTATTTCCAAACTTCATAATGAAGTGAAGTTTGCATATAGACTTGAAAATACCAATCTTTCAAGTGTAGATTCCATACGAGACCTTGGGGTAATTATCGACAGTAAACTAAGTTTTAATAAACATATTGACCAAATCGTTCAAGCTTCTTTGAAAACACTTGGCTTTATTATTAGGTCTACAAAAGATTTCACAAATACGGAGAGCTTGATTGCCTTGTACAACTCATTGATAAAATCAAAATTACAATATGCAGCTCTGTGACCGGCACCGACCGTTGTAAAAGGCGGAACGTTAATTTTGTCGCTTGATATTTTTCGTCATTTATTGTGAGCTAAATGCAGATTTAATAGTGAATTTTATATCAAAGTGTGCGCATTTTATCACCCCATCAAAATATACTTTAGTTGTGGAAAATTACTGAAAACTTTAGTTTAACATGCTCAAAATAAAGTAATCTTTTTTTTTACACATATAAACTATTTCTTATCAACCAAGCAGCCGTGCTCGTCGCTGTTGACCCTTTTTTTTTTCTTTCTGTTTTTTGTGATCAGTGAAGTAAACAAGTTTATTTGATGTGGCCTGTAAATAAACAAATACACGTGTTGAGGATCAATGAATGAATAAATAGACTAGCATTATGAATAATCGAAGTATTTTTAAATGCTGCTCGAAAAATCAAAGCAGTTTTATCTGTATTATCTGCCATAGTGTCTTTCACAACAGCTGTCTGGAAAGGAAGCCTGACATTGTGAAAATTGGTGGGCACAAGATACTGTGCTCCCCTAATTGTCAGAATAATAATGAACTTGCAGAAGAACAGGAAGCAAATTACAAACAAATTATCGAAAAGTTACAAATTGAAGCTGCTGAGAAAGAAAACTCCTTAAAAAGGTTGAAGAGAAATTCCAAAGTATTTGAAGACGAAATAATCGAATCCGAACAAAAATATGTCAACACTATCGAAGAGCAAAAGCGGAGAATAATTCAATTGAAGAATGAAATATCGCTATTTAAGGAAAATGATGCAAAGTTTGAGACCGACATGAAAAACAGCGAAGAACAAATATTACAACTGAAGAAACAAATCAATGAGCTAAATGACATGTCTAAGAACATGATTTCAACCATTCGTATATTAGAAAACGAAAACAAACTCCATCTGGATGATCTGAGCAAGATGCAACAGAGGGCGGCAGGCAAAACAGTGAAAAGCACAGGCATACAAACAGATTTAGTGTACACTAAAGATATTTTACCAGAACATAGTGAAATACGAAAAACAACAACCAAAAACTACTGTGGAAAAGATTATTGTGATAATAATCCTTTGAATAACTCAAGCAACAATAAACAGTATACTGTTAAGCCAAAACACAAACTTGTTCTTCTAACTGACCAATATGGAAAACATCTGTATAATCCACTTAAAGAAACCCTTGGTGACAGCTATCAAGTTCAAGTGATATCCAAGCCATTTGCAAAATTTGAAGATGTGGCTGCAGGTATAGACTGTTTTCAGGAAATTTTGACAGGGAACGATTTTGTATTGGTAATGGCGGGCGTGAATGATATTAATATTGCATCCAGGGAAGTAAGTCAGTTAGCTAACAAATTTTTTCAAACAAACCTAATAATTTGTTCACTTCCAGCCAACATAACTTGAAAGAGAAAAACTTTCATACAGTTAATGATAAAATCTTACAAGTAATAAATATTTTAAAACGGCACTCAACTAACATTGACTCTTTAAATCTACAAAGTTGTTTTGAATGTCATGAATTTGCTAAAAATCGTATCTATTTAAATAAAAGAGGCCTGTATAAATTATCCAAAGAAATGGTCAATTCTATAACTAACTTTAATAAAAAACCTAAAATCACAAATCTAGTTAACGTAAACTTAAAAAAATACATAGATAAACCGAATATAGAATTGATAGAACAAAGTAAAAATATTGGTAATGATACTGATGTTTTCACATCAGAGTCAGAAGATTCTTTTTTAGATGTAACCAGCCCAACAATTACAACAGCATGAAAGGTAAAAGTGTTTGTTTTTTAGTTTTAAATATTCAATCTTTAAGGAATAAAAATGACGAGTTGACAATATATCTGGAATCGGTAAACAACCCTGATATATTGCTAATAACAGAACATTGGTTGAGGGCGGACGAGCCGTTTTATGTGCCATGTTATAAGGTATTGGATCTTTTTACAAGACAAGAGT